GGAAGAAAGATTAAAGGCCTTAAAACGGCCCAGAAACGGACAAAATGGCGCCTGGACGGTTATGCATGAGTGATTTGGAAAATCGAAGAAAATAGTGACCTTAATGAGATACTAGAGACTATGCCTATGAAATTACAAAGGAAACGGACATGAGTAAAGGGCATAACGAGTGATTACAAGCACTATGTGCAAAACGAATGCGATTTCCTGACGAAAAGGGGACGGAGAAGAATATTAATGGGGCAGAATGTGAACGAAAACAATATGAATATTCGTCATTATAATTATAGGAGAAGTTTACAGGCCTCCCAATTCCAATTTTATTGAGTTCATATCTGTTATTCAGTATAAACTAGCCTCACCTTTTCGTTGTTACAAACCTTGTTTCATTATGGGAGAAACCTATTCTACTACCAACAAAATACGAATAGTAGGGACTACCTAGATATTTTACTGTCACATTCATTTATTCCAGTAATCACGAAGCCGTCCCGTCCCGAAGGTGATCACTCATCAACCCTAATAGATAACATCTTTACTAATGTACATTCCCCTGTTTTCTCTGGCATCGTTGTCTCTGATCTGTTTGATCAGTTTCTAATATTTTCCGTTATACCAAGCCTTACCCAATCGTCTTTATCAAGTATTAGAAAACAGAACCAATTTAGAGTGTTATCAGAGGATAATCTTAATATTAACTAGCAACAGGTATACAATAATGATGACTCGCTAATCTAGCTTTTGATAAATTCTTAGATATATTTAATGAATATTTAATGAATAGTTCAATACCAACCTACCAATACAGCGTCCTGCTCAAACTAACAACAACAAAGTGCCTAGATCTCCCTGGATTTTGAAAACGCTTTTAAGGTCCATAAATAGAAGAAGAAAAAATATCCTATAGATATAAAACTTAACCAAACGAAAGGAATAAAAGTAAATATACTCATTATCGGAATAAGCTAACTGTCATACTTTGCATAGCAAACAAAATAAATATTATTCCCGTACGGCCATGCATTACGGCTCAAGGCATGAGCGCACAGAAGATTTTTTTCTGTTGGGGACCGGGGGGGGGGGGGATTCATTGAGTTATTGATAATTTATTGCATTTTCTTTTGTTTTTATTTGTGGGAACTGTCCCCTACCCTAGCCCCCGCTGCGTACAGTCATGGTTCAGTGGCAAAGCAATGGCCTCGTAACTTTGAGGCCCCAGGATTAAAACCGTGTCGATGTGCTATATAAGTGCCCTTTTGTGGGGCATTAATCCTCATTACTGTCATTTATGACTTAAGGGCGTAGGTTCCCTAGTTGATAAGCATAATAGCATACACATGCTTTAGCAGTCACGCAAAACAAACAATGGCAAATAATAATTCAATAAAATCTGAGAATGTATACTATCATCTAGATCTTTTAGGAATAAATCATTGTCAAAATAATTCGATAAATTGGGGTAAAAAAAAATATTCCAACTATATGAGCGACAGTGCATATTGTGTTACTCAGTACGGGAGCCTATTCACATACAAGCTATGCCATTGATTTAGGCTTCCCACATTTTACTTTGTTTTACCCTGTCTGTAACATCTATATCTTTCGAAATTGCGTACCTATTTTCCGTACATTATACTTGATTTGAAATCTTTTTTTTTTATCCACGCTTATACGCTTGTATAAACATTGTTTTGTTATTATTAAATTATTTTTTGATGTTAGTGTGGAACAAATAAACTTCAATCAAGTATGGAATATAAAGTTCCACTTAGCCATCTACTGGAACTGCGATTGGTAATCAAAACCAAGATATTATAATATTCCTAACATGAAGTTATGGTAACAAACAAGAACGGTTAATGCAAATAACGATATGTCTTTGGTGTGTGTGGACCACAAGGCAACCATCACTCTTAAGAATATTCTTTTGTACATCAAATGGATTGTTTCATGGGAAAGAATTGTGATTTTGAGTCATGGGTAAAAATATTTATTTAAAGAAAAACAAATCATCTAGTTTTTATAATGTGTTTTATAATACAGTGCCAGTCAATATATACATGTAATACATTCTCTGAATAAAAAGAAGGCTCCGAAGTTTCCTAAGCTTTGTTTTACCCCCCCCCCCCCCGCCCTCAACAAACGTTTATATATGATTTGAAAAATGCGAGAATGATTGATCAAATTCAATATCAAATGTTTACATGTTTTTTCATCATGAAAAAAAGCCATCTTATTTGCCAACATATAATATATGTATGTATAATTTTAAATATATATAAATCTTAAGGATTTTTGTTTTATTATGTGTCGATAATGTTTTATTTCTGACCCCCCCCCCCCCCCCCTGGGTTCTGTCCGTAATATCCCCCTCCCCTACGTTTTTTGGTTTCCTTTTCCTTTCGTATTGCTTTTAAGCTTGAGCCACTATGGCCTGATTACAGAAATCAAATTAAATCATAACATAAAGATTGCTTCCTGTAAATGTACCAGTCTCCTTTGTTATTCTTATATAGGGGGGAAAAAAAATGTAAATACAACAGACACCAATATCCCCATCCAACTATCCAAATAATCAACAATCATAACAATTGTAATTTTTTTTTTATTGGAGAAGGCCATATTGTCAAGTCAATTTTTGTGGACCTAGTTAGTATTCTGAAGAAACTATTGATATGTGGGTTTTTCCCCCGTTGTCTAAATTTCAAAGAATTGATCAAGTACATTATATAAACCGAACAGTATGCATTAATCAGTAAAAATGAGATTGGGTTCATGGGTTCTCATTATCATAAAGGTACTTGAAGCACACTGATGCGCCAATACTCGTAGGCCGTTATTCAACAAATGATGAATATATTATTCATTTAGCGGAAATGACCCCTCCCAAATCGCATGCTCGAAGCTGATCCGCGCTTTTTGTTACTGTTGCGTGAAGAGCATATTAGGATGTAGGAGCCTCGAACAGCTATTAAATAAAGAATTAATCGTGTTCAAATGTCAAAGCGAAGATGGCAAACCCTAAGGGGCCTAGTGTGACTAAAATTTTAACCATGACGTCAAGTTTATGCATATCAAATATCATTCAGAAATGACAATGTATGACGGAGATATGGTCAATAATAGAAATTAACAAAATGGCGCCTATATACCTTAAAAAAGAATCTCTTCGTCAGAATCATTATTCATGCAAATGGCACATGTCATGACAATTTCTTTGTCATTAACCATGCCATTCATGAGATAAGAAGCGAGTAAAATCCATGCAGAAAGAATGTGGGGAGAAGATAGATTCTGACAATATCAAATGCTCTGCTACGCTACGCTGCAGATCACCTAATAATATAATAATAATAATAATAATAATAATAATAATAATAATAATAATACATTTTAGTAGTAGTAGTAGTAGCAGTAGTATCATATCGATGGTAATAATGACAATCAGGTACGTTGCTAAATCAATTTTGAAAAATAGTATACACTATTTATTGAACGTTTATAACATAGCAATTTAAAGTGTGAAGACTACAGGGATCTACGACGCTATGTCAGATCCAATATTCTTTGATTGGAGGGGGGCAACTGTTAACAACAATAGGAAGCAAAAAAGGTATTATGCCCCCCCCCCAGTTCATTGTTGGCAGAGATATTTAAAGCGCTACTTACTATCTCTTGAATAATTAGCTCCCTAACCTTTGGCAGGAAGGTTAAAACATGTGCGAGGCTGCTCACTGATAACACCTGGTCAGTCTCAAAACACGTATCGATGTAAGGTGCTTCAGATTAAACCGGATGTTGGTAGGGATGGGGAGAACTAGGCGACTAATAAGGGACGAAGAGTTCAACTGATCCCAAAGCCTGCTAAAAACATCAGGTGGAAGGGCAGCTTCTGGCAAATCTAAAAAGTCCTAATTAAAGAAAGATTCCATGCAGATGGATAATGATACCGAAAAAAATCCTCAGTTTCCTGAACTGTATATTGCATTACAGTGCGTCCCAGAAAAAACGAAACCGAGAAGTATCGATGTTTTATCATAACTTAATCACAACCATAATTAATGAATGATACATATTTGGAAAGCTTAGAGTCTCTTCTTTTAGTTGATGCTACTCGCGTGATGCATATTTCACGCATGAATGATTAAAAGCAATTTAAAGGAAGGAAACCAAAAAGTAATTTGGCGGGCGGTATCTGAATTTCAAAGAAAAATTCATATTTCTAGAAAGTTCATTTTCTGCTCTTTCACATGATACCTCAATCAAGAAAAATGAGCCAGGAATAACAAAGTTCTGTTTGTTTAAAGTAGCCCTTACATTTTCATAATTTTAACAAACGAATTCGTTTTCACTTGGTGCCTGCCGTAGCAAAAAGCAGATTTGACAAAAGACTTAACTCCGTTTCGTTGACAATCAGCCATGCATGAAGACTCTTGTCTACGGCTGATTGTCAACGAAACGGAGTTAAGTCTTTTGTTAATTTCGTGTATTGATACGGCAGGCAGCCAGTGAAAACGAATTCGTTTAATAAAATTATTGAAATGCAAGCACTACTTTAAACAAACAGAACTTTGTCATTCCTTGCTCATTTTTCCTGATTGAGGTGTCATACGAAAGGGCAGAAACTCAACTTTCTAGAAATGTGAATTTTTCTTCGAAATTCAGATACCGCCCGCCAAACGTCTTTTTGGTTTCCTTCCTTCAAATTGCTTTTAATCACTCATGCGTGAAATATGCATTATCTGAGTAGCATCACATGAAAGAGGAGACTCAAAGCTTTCCAAATATGTATCATTCATGAATTATAGTTGTGATTAAGTTATGATAGAACATCGATACTTCTCGGTTTCGTTTTTTTATGGGACGCACTGTGTAGTGATGGCTAAACTCCATCCTCATACCATTTTTTCCCCTGTCAATCAATCATACTTCAATAGATAAGCAAATGACAAGAAGATGGGGGGGGGGGGAAACAAGTACTAACTACTTTGACTGTTGAATAATGAATATAATAATACTATGCACATTCTCAACTCCCTGGAGAGCTTTATTTGTAATTTTGTTATTTGTACTATATCAATGATGTATAAATGGTACGAAAACTATGCAAATAATATCAGACCAATTTTAGTCTTAAAGTCTTAAAACCCCTCTGCACTAGTTTGGCATGAATGGATTAGACCTCCCTGCAAGGTCACTGACAGGTAGTTATCTCATCAAATTAGCTTTTAATTACCGATAACATAATACAAAGGGCATCATGGGGGATCAACGGGTACCGCTTAGGAATTGTTGGCTGTATAAACGGCGCAAGTAGCTATAAGTAGCGCAGTGGGGCTTTAAGGCCTCTGCACACAAAACACGACACACGTGTAGATGTGAACGTTTTTTTGTAGTCGTTTGCCGTCTGGCATGGCGTATTGTCATGTCGTTTTGTTGTGTGCCGTATGTCGTGTTTGGTGAGCAGAGGCGTTAATTTATGTAAATTATCAAATATGGGGGACTTTTGTAACATTACTTTTGATTGTACATCACAATGACCAATGTATTTATTCCTAGACAGAAAACGAAATATCTAACAAAACTACAGATAGAACTGTACTTCTGTAAAGTTTACAACCTGAATTACTGGAAAAGAGGCTACGTGTAGATACTTTGTAAACCTGTAACACGATCGAGTGGCAGTGTATTATGAGCTCCCGGATGTTCGGAAGGAACGCCATGATTTGCGCAACGTAGTCATCTGCAGGTGGATCTAGAACAATGGTGAAGCTGGTGACAGAGTACAGGGGCTCCATCAGAGGTGAGATGGTCGGTGGAACATCCCGATACATCTCGATATGTGTGAGGTGGATACAAGTATGCATGCTGTTCCATAGTCTCACAAATAAGTCATCAGTCGTTCCAGTGATGTCAATACTTGTGATCTACAATTAACGTATAACCATAATTATAGCAGTAAAAAGGTATTTAAAAGTTTGATGTTGAGTAAATGGAATCTAGACCAGAATTTTCTACTGGTTGGAAATTTACTGCCGGAAACAGTCTGTTACCGAATTCCAAACTTGAATACGGTGTCATTTCTTCGACAAAAAGGCAGTACTGTTGTCATCTAAAGTTAAAGTTTTATTCGTCTTCCGAATAAAACACTGTAAAATGAAACCACATAAAACAGTTATCCTTATTGCAGATAGATATCAAATACATGTATTTGCAATAAAATGATACTATAAAACACGACATTGTTCGTAGAAATAAATTTACCTTGTGTCTTTTTTTTATAAAATTATAATAGTTCTTTTGAGAGCGTTCAAATGTCGATACTACCACACAGTAATCATAGGGGTATAGGATATAGGATAGTTTTCTTAGAGATAACAATATTTGATGAGGTTTTTTGAGAGTATGGTATTTATTTCGTTAAATTTAGAGAAGTGGACAACACTGGTCATGCTAGACTATGATAAACTTTTGATTCGTACCCATTCTCTTCTTTCCTTCATCGTTCCCCTTCTCTCTTTATCTCCCTATCTCATCATTTCTTTCCCTCTCATCTCATCCCCCTTCTATTTGCGTCTCGTACCTTCCCCATTCCCCCTCTCTATGCTATAACCTTTTTCTTAACAGATCCTGGTAGTGTCTCAAATCCAACCACTGTTGATGCTTAAACTTGTCGCAGTTGAAGTTTTCCATCTTCAAAAAAACGTGCCAAGTACGTTGCAGAATCATCTGCACAAGTTCCTGTCTCGCTGATGACATCTAAGATGAGGGGATGGTAGAGGCATTCGTAACTGGAACAGTGATCAATGAGAGATTCCAAAATAATTCGGCACGCCAAAACCGATGTCCCTGATGCAAACTGGACGATCTCTTGTAGGCTAAAGGCTTCATGAAGGACAATATTGTAGATGCTTCCATTTTCGAGTTCACTTGCGAGATATCTTCCTGCTGAATATTCCTGCGCTAACTTGTGGAAGAATTCAATGTGGATGATAATATTGTTATCAGTCTTAATGTTCTTTGTTAACAGACCAAGTGAGTAGCTGATGTTTAATATATCATCATGAACTTCACTAAAATCTTCCTCACTAAACACCAATGGATTCGGATCCTTCGTGCTCATCATTTTTTTAAGGGCAACTTGCCCAACTGAAACAAGTGTGCTGTTGAGCAGGTCTTGCTCGATATCTTTATCTCGCTCATGCTTGGCATTCAGGTGTTTCCTCAAGAGATCCATGATGTCATCAAATAGTTTCGTTCGGGTGGATTTTCCATGAAAATAGCCATCTTTCCACAAATAACACACCATGGTGCAAAAAAGGGGCGTGGCAATCATTTCGTTGGTAACGATGTCTTCTTCCAAATATTTCTTCAGTTCTGTTGCTTTTGTTTCATTGGGTGGAAAGAATTTGTCGATGAAATCTGTGGCATGCTGTTGAGAATATCCTTCTATTACCATCTTGGAGTAGTAGAAACTTCTCGAATAGAAGTCTTTTTTCCTTACGGGCCGAGATGTTACCAAGACCCGACATTGCCTACATCTCTCCTCACACAATATATCAATGACGTAACTTATGTTATCCCTGCAATTTAGCTCTCCACTAAATTCATCATAACCGTCGAAGAGCATGACAATATCCTTCTCATGGGAATCGATATACTCTTCAAGCTCTTTTATGTACTTCTCGTATTTCTTTCCAAGCAACGGAACAATTGCTTCGGTTATTCCTGTCTTGGCATTCATGTTTCTCATCTTGAATACAAAGAGCAACTTCACATTTTTCAAAGGAGAAGCTCCATTTTTATTGGCCCAATCATAAGCCATTTTAGCTACAGCTGTTGTTTTCCCCCGGCCAGCCTCCCCAAACAACACAATTCTTTCTGGCAAAGATCCATTAACTTTAGTCCGGAATATATCGTTGACTGATCCATTTAAAATTGACTTCTGTAAGGGTTTGTCCGGAATTTTATTCTTGTCTTCTTTGTAGAGGCTGACGGTTGTGTAGTATTTCTTTAAGTCAACGTCTTCGTATCGATCCCACGGCTTGATGGGAATTTTAAAGATATTTTTCTCATAGTGACTCCGTAATGTGTCTTGCAACTCTTCAAGGCTGAGGGTTTCTGCTATGTATTCTGGAATAAATACATACAACATAATGAAAAATATTTCATTTTTAATTGCATTTTCATCAGTATTGTCCAAAGTGCATTTTTATTCTTCACACGTTAAAGTCAAATTATTTTAATGGTATCTGGTCATTTTCAACCGGTTATTGTGTCTCTATACCCCTCTTTACCAAACAACTTCTTCAGGATGGTTGAAAGGGGGAAGGGCAACACGGGAATTTAGCATTATTGTGGTTATCTTAAAATATTCCGATGGTATATACTAGAGGAGATGAACCCTACACAATATGCCTACCTGTCTCACAGTTGTTGCCTCCGTAGCCAGATTTGCATGTACAGGAGTACTCCCCGTGAAGCTCATGGCAAGTGCCTCCATTCCGACAGAGTGACTTTGCACATTTTCCCGGTTCTGTGAGAAGAAAAAGAAGAAAAAACGCGAACAAAATATGTAGCAAAATATTCCTAATTTGGTAGAATATTTAGAGTGAAGGACGGTCATTAACCCAGATAATTACACTAACAATACAGCGAAGCTTCAAAGTGCACACTCCCCACTCCACTCGCATGAATGGGGAGCTCTTTTACAGGCGCGCACACGCTAGACCAATGCAGAGAGAGTTACACACGTACATAATTATGTGATCCAATCACATTGGACTAGTCATGTGTCCTCACCCTACCGGGAACCCATGTAACAGCTCGGTGGAGAGGAGCACAGATAAATCTTTCTATCTATGTCCTTTACCAGGCATCGAACACATGACAAGATTCAGGCACCTTGCTTATTATCAAAGCAAGAGGAATTGTAGTGTTATACTGATATCAGCTTACCAGGGATTAGATTATTGCAAGCCGCCACAATAGCCAAAAGAGCTACAACCAAGCAGCTAAGACCTGCAACAAAAAATTAAAAACGTACAAATGAATAAATCACATTCCAATTATAATCAGTCACAGAAAAAAGCATGACAAATTTAATTTTTTGTGTGTGTGTGTGTGTCTGGGGGGGGGGGGGCAGGTATTAATAAGAATTCAAAATAATCAATGCTGGTTTCTCCACTTGGGACTAATTACATTACACATATGTTTCTTTGTTTTCATTTTTTAACCTTGCAATTATTTATTTATTCATCTATTTTTTAATGATAAATATTGAACACATAAAACCAAAACAAACCTGAAATCATAGAAATTAAATCTCGGGATAAAATCTCACCTGCTACAAATTTCCATTTGTTCCGGGCACTCGCACCAGTCCATGTCTGCCCCTGTCCCTTTGCCGGTCCAGGCTCTTGTCTACGTCCAGACTGAATCACGGCCTTTTGTTTTTTGATGGCTGTATATCAAGATCAATGAATATGTAGTATTCATTATGAATATGCCTTATTGATTTTTCAATGATGATTGGCCAATAGATTGCATGCAAATTGGATCAATATGGCTACAATCCATGAGGTAACTGTATACTGAAGTTTATATTCATAAAACATCGAAACAACAATTCAATATGAAAAATGATTACCATCATCATTTTCAGCACCATCGTCGTCATCATCATGTATTAGTGAAGTTAATGAATGGATGATAAAAAACAAAGTACTCACGAATGAACAAAAACAAATGCAAAAAGTTGAGCCATATTATTATTGTAATAATTTTGCAAAATTAGTTGAATGAGTAATGAGTACTGATTCAACTCTTTTTGCAAATTTATAATAATAATAATATGGCTCAACTAAATTGTAATAAAAAATGCGAATGATATATGTTAATGATGACTATATGACGCTGGCGATGACGGGATCTGAACGAGGTTGTATAAACCAGGCTTGGTTCATGTGATGCACAACATTTGAATAACTTTACACAGCTGTACACAACAAATTTACAGTGTTGCGCTTGGAGAGCAAAATAAGTATTCTGTTTTGATTACTAATATGTAAATGTTTATTTATGTTAATGTTTATGTATGTATCGTCATCGCCAGCATCATAATTGTCATTAAGATATCATTCACATTTTTATTACAATTTATTGATATCAATAACAATTTTTAGAAATACGAAAAAGTTGAGCCATATTATTATTGTAATAATTTTGCAAAAATAGTTGAATAAGTAATGCATATTAAGTATAATTCAAGCATTAAATCAATTACCATGAAAATCTTAATCCCATTGTCATTCACCTCACTACCGAAATGTCATAGAAATGTGTATTATGTTGGCAGAGAAAGTGGTGACTAAAATTTTTCGCCTTTACTGGATGACCGAAATTTTGAGAGATAGTTACAGACGCACCTTCTTCAAAAAAGTTGACAAGGTCCTTCTTCTCGTTAAGTTTGAAAATATCGATGAGATCTTGAGCACCTTCCACACTCCGACCGTGAGTGGCGACAAACTTCTGTAGAAGATGCTCGTATTTCCCCTGCGGACACTGTTTGTGAATTGCCAGCTCCTCCGCTGCGCTTGCGGCGACGAAATCGAAGCCCAGATCGACGGCAAAATCGCTGACTGGATAAAGTTTTATATTAATTTGCTTGGAAAGGTCATTCACAAGGGCATCACTAAGAACTTCTTCCGCCATCACTACCTGAATGAAAATAAAATTGATTAGGAAAGCTGATAGTAAGAAATGTATAATGATATCAAAAGGAAGGGACCCCCTTTGGGCTTTGATCGGCCTAACCCTGGATCTACTCGAATGTTGGGCCACAATAGCCACCAACCCCTTGGTGAAGATGAAAATAATTGTATAATACATTGTGTTGGGCACCCCTCCCTCTAGATAAGTCTGTTTTTTGTTGTTCTTTAGATTAACATAAGGCGAAAAGTTTATTGTCATTTGGTCCTATACCCAGATCATCAAGGGGGAGAGTCGAAAGTAATTTCCGAAAGGGAAATGATGGGATGCACGGGGTATGAGCGATAGAGAGGAGAAGTAGAATTCGAGATTGGGGTTGAGGTATTCAAAACTGTGAAAGAAATACGGGGATTAAAATAAGAGCAGATTACAGAAACATGAAGAAAGAGAGAGACAGACAGAGATGATATCATTAGGAGATACCATGACAAAATATTACAGACATGAGTGCTTCTATTTTCATTGTAAATATTAGAAAAAATCTGCATGTGGTTCCTTTTCAATAGCTGTATTGTGTGGAAATTCAACTTTGAGCAAAAGCAAAGTTAAGGAATTTGAAAGGGCCAGAAGGGGATTTTTTCCCCCATCTCATAGAGTCTTTTGTCAAGATCCAGAGTTCCCAAATGTTGCACTATAATCATTGAACTATTCTTCTTTGTTAGTGCTCATGTTATATCTCTAACCCCTCTCTACCGCACTACCCCCCCCCCCATCTCCCATCTCTCTCTCTCTCTCTCTCTCTCTCTCTCATCTAGTCCACTGACTGGACTGTTTCCGTGTCGCGCGCCCAAGCTAAGAAAATAACACACCCTCCACTCTAAACCGGAGAGAATCCTTACCTCTCATTCTACCCCGATAACATCGGGTTTCGGGGGTCGCTCGATCTGTGTGGCATGTGTGTAAGGGAGGAGGACATGGATGATTAAAGAATAATATATATATATGAACTGACAGAATCAGGACTACCCGTATACACGTATCTCTGTCTCTCACTCTCTTACTCTCTCTCTCTCTCTCTCTCTCTCTCTCTCTCTCGTACCCCCTCTCTCTCTGTGTTTTACTCTCCATCTTGTATCACCTTCTCTCCCTCTCTCTCTCCCTCTCTCTCTCTCTCTCTCTCTATATATATATATATGTTTTACTCTCCATCTTGTACCGCCTACTGTTCTCTCTCTCTCTCTCTCTCACTCCTTCTTGCCCCCTCCCTATTGTAACCTGGTGAAAATCGAGCATATCTTACCTCAGTTATTACACTCCAATATCAAAGAAAGTAATGATGTAAACTTAGGCAGCATGCATGGCTCGACGGGCTCAGTGTAGTGTCTGCCTATACGCGTGCGGCTATCACTACGTTAATCCATACTGACATGGTCAATCCAATCCGGAAATGTAGCACGAAGAGGGAAATCCCCAATTTGTAGTCTTTTGCCAAGAACCCGGATATGAAACATAATTCAAACATTTTGTTTTGTTTTTATAAGATGTTTTATATTCTGGATATCTTGCGACTCTCCAGTGTAGCGCTTAGCACACAGTTTGCGATAAACATGTTGGCAAATTCTTTCATTATTAAAAGGGATTGGATATCTTTGTCTCAGATTCTAAACAAAATCCTGGATTTAGCTCATGCGCTGCAATCATAATTAAAAACATTTAGGTCAGTCGACGTTTACAAACCGATCGCCCGTCTGATTATCAAGATATTTATGATTGGAATTCGAAATGTCAAAGAACGTTTCCCAATGATTTTTATAACACTAAGATCTGAGTATGAGTATGGTAAAAACTGGTCAGTCAAAGATTTTTACTTTTTTGAGGCACTTCATGATCATTTTGAAGCGCAATTTTGTTAGGGCTTCAATATTACATCATACGATAGACGCTGATAACATGTAGGGCCATGCATCTCAGATTTGGCATGGTTAAACAATCCCTTTAATCATAATTATAATGATGATAACGGTTATGATGATACTACTAACAACAATGATAATAATAATAACAACAACGACAATAATAATAACAACAACAATCATATTAATGATAAGAAGAAGGGGAAGAAGAAAAACGAGAAGAAGAAGAGGAAGAAGAAAAACGAGAAGAAGAAGAAGAAGAAGAAGAAGAAGAGAAGAAGAAGGAGAAGAAAAAATAGAAGGAGTAAATGAAGAAGACGAATAATAAGCAGAAGGAGAAGAAGAAGAAGAAGCAGAAGAAGAAGAAGAAGAAGAAGAAGAAGAAGAAGAAGAAGAAGAAGAAGAAGAAGAAGAAAACGAAGACGGGAGATAAGGAAACGAAGAAGAAGCTGCATTACAAACTGTTGCAAAACCGATAACCGAATTATAATTCATGGCCGGCGGAACCGGGGGGTTGAGGGGGCTCCAGCCCCCGCTCTTTTTTCAGTACACAAGCCCGTCTATATTTTGTACAAACGATAGTTTCGCTACATGTATAAGAATTTAGAATGCTCTGCTCCCTCGAAAAAATATGGGTATAATACAACAACCTGTTACCATGAACATTATCAGTATTGTGATTCCTTGTGTATGCAATACCCGGGGACAGGCTTGATTGTGTGAAATACAAGTTTCAATAGGGCCTATAGCCTACTACAAAATAGAGGAATATAACAGCAACAACAACAACAGCAATAATAACGATAATAATTTGCAAAAGTGCCTCATTGCCGAGGGTCGGTCAATCAAAGGGATTGACGGAGTATCTCACCGAAAAAACGGTAAGAGGGCTTTACCCCCCCCCCTCCCCAGAAATTTAGAAATCGCCAAAGATATTTAAATTAACGAATTATAAAGCAGAATAACCTATTAAAAGGATGGAAAAAGGAACTTAAATTTGTCTGTGTGGTAACTTCTGAATACAAACTTCCTTGCTGGAATTGCTGCGCTCCCTCTTAAAAAGTAATGTAATTTTTCAAAGTGCGTCGGTAGAATGCAAAGTTTGATCTTCCCGGTTCAGTCGCCATGTCCCCTTTTATATTGTGTTACCCGGGTATTAACACCCCCCCCCCCCCCCCTAAAAAAAAAAAAAAAAAAAAAAACGGATGGCGCAATTACACTTGCAATTCATCATTTATACTAAACTTTGGGTTGCTATGGCGACATCCCCTAATTGCACCAAGTGTAACTACGAGTGTTATTTATTCCTATGTTTTTCGTCTACGCCTGCTTTTTCGGCCCTCATAGAAATTGTTTATTGTTTATTTTGTATTGTTTGATGTTGTTCTGAAATGATAATATATCACAACTACATATTCTGAGATTTTCATGTTCGCAGCTACCACTGTAGGGCCGTAGGCGCTATTTGAAATTCATCAAAATTTACCGGGAGCACCGGTAATTGTTATATTCAATTTTCTCGAAAGCGGAAGTGTTTTAGGGGCTAAAATTTCTAGTGCTTATAAAACATCCACAAGGGGTTTCCAAATATATCAAAATTGTAAAGAATCCACCCAATTTTCAAAATTTTCCCAAAACTTTTGTATTACCTTTTATGTAAAAACATTGAAATCTAAATGATCAAAAATGCCTGTATACACACGAGGGGGGAAAGAGAAAGAGAAAAACAAAGAAAGATCTAAAGCAGAGGGGGAAAGAAAGAGGGGATCTATTAATTACTTAGCTTTAAAGCCTTGGTTTATATACAAGAAATTAGAAGTAAAATATACATTCTGCTTCATCCACATTATAAAAATTTACCACCTTCTCTTCTCCTCCTGTTTGCTTCTAACACTTCTTCTCACAAACTTAGACACACATTAAACTACATAGTCTACCGACATACACTCGTTTCTTCCCATTTACATTTGTATGTCCCTTCAGTTTTAAAAATCCCAAATTTGTCATACTCCATCAAAGCAACACACAATTCAATCTCACCCAAGCTAGACGTCTGCTGCTATTCTTACCGTCGTAATGTAAATTCAGAAAGAACGTTGAGAACGTAGAGAAAGTAGAGACTCATTCGATAATGAAAACTCTGTCGGAAGATGATCAATTCATCAATATCTACTCCTAATTTGTGCTTCAGACGCAATCAAGGTTGAGCTGACTTCAAACTACTGCGAATTTGGCAGTGATATGCACGTTCAGTTTCAAATACAACTCACATTATTATGCACGCACACAGTGCAAAAGAATGAAAAGCGAGAAGAAATGAATATGACAAATGATAGGCACCGTTGCACTGTGTAAATAAAATGGCATGCATGTGAATAACAACAGGCTTCTATTGCGTCCCTGCTTCATAAAAAGTCTTGTCAGTGACAAAGTAGAATATCTGATAATAGTTTATGCTACGGAAATCCTTGCCTTTGTCAATTGGCTGTGAAATTTTTTGATACAGCATTTTGGCACTTGTAATTGATAACAAGTCCAATGAAAATATGGCCCAGAAGAATTAGTCTTAGTGTGCGAATGATCTTGCTTTTAAATGACCTTGTTTAACAAATTGTATGCATACTTTTTTAAACAAAATTTTCTCTTGACGACTGCAAAGCTCACTAGAGAGTTGCACGACATGGTAATGAATCGTAAGATCACTACACACACCGAGAAAGAATGACGTGGAAGCACTATACCTATATCCAGATTCACGTAAAGATAGAAACAATGACTGAAATATGATCTTAGATAGCTACACCCACAACAAAAAGTGAGTCACCCTTACTCAAATTGATGAGTCACTGGTTTGTCCGTACAGTGAAACACTTGAAGGATCGTGTGAGTCACTAATACTCATTTGTATCGAGTCATAGTGACTCACACGATCCTTCAAGTGTTTCGCTGTACGGACAAACCAGTGACTCATCAATTTGAGTAAGGGTGACTCACTTTTTGTTGTGGGTGCATCATGACATAGACCCCCTACTCCCTAGGCCTATCACACACATACCATACCATGCCAGAGTCACTGTCCACATTTGCAAT